TCATCTATTCTATCTCCATAATTCTACTCAAAATATTTGTTGAATGCGTGGCTTGTACAATAACTGATTATTAGTTTATTTCGAAAACTATGTTCGTGTTCTTTGTTTCTTACTTTTAAAGCTCGACCACTTTGTCCAATTGCGTTGCATTTTTTATATTTTGTACCTTTTTTTTGCATTGGGGTCATCCACATTGGCAACTGTCGACAGTTATTTAGTTCTTTTCTTTTCCGAACACGTTGCATTTCTTATTTTGTTGCACTTGGGAAGTTTCATCTTTTAGAGTGAAGTTAGTGGCTTAGCTATTTTTTTTTTGAAATGCTTTGTAAGTTTCTGTCGTGTTCGTAGAATTCTCAATATTTTGTCCTTATGTTAATATCCTTTGTGTCATTAATATTGACTAGCCATACTGTATGTGTGCGATCGGGCATACGTGTGTAAGAGCGGCTTATCGATTCGCCGACTAGCCGCGGGCACCTTTCTTCATGTGCGTCGTATTTGTAAATGTGTGTGTCGTACCTGCGTTCTGGGAAAACAATTAAACAGTTCAAAGAAAAAGAAACTTTTCCAGACGGTTCGAGAAGGTTCCCGAAAGGAAACAAAAGAGCATTTGAAGGAAGAGACGATCGCCGAAANTTTTTATTCCCATAAAAATAAATGATGCACGTCTCTGGCAAATAAAAAGGTGTAGGTAGTCTGAACAGTAAAATGAATAGAAAGCGGCAGAAAACAATATTATATGGGACCTAAAACGGTGTTTAATGACCATCAGAGGACAAATTTATTACGCAAATGTCACTGCCTTTCTAATAACTAGGCACAGTACCTAATGGCTATTGGTTTCTATATGAATAACTACAAAAATTAGTTACAATAGGAAAATAAGCCCATTCACATTTTCATCTATTCTATCTCCATAATTCTACTCAAAATATTTGTTGAATGCGTGGCTTGTACAATAACTGATTATTAGTTTATTTCGAAAACTATGTTCGTGTTCTTTGTTTCTTACTTTTAAAGCTCGACCACTTTGTCCAATTGCGTTGCATTTTTTATATTTTGTACCTTTTTTTTGCATTGGGGTCATCCACATTGGCAACTGTCGACAGTTATTTAGTTCTTTTCTTTTCCGAACACGTTGCATTTCTTATTTTGTTGCACTTGGGAAGTTTCATCTTTTAGAGTGAAGTTAGTAGTTTAGCTATTTTTTTTTTGAAATGCTTTGTAAGTTTCTGTTGTGTTCGTAGAATTCTCAATATTTTGTCCTTATGTTAATATCCTTTGTGTCATTAATATTGACTAGCCATATTGTATGTGTGCGATGGGGCATACGTGTGTGTGAGCGGCTTATCGATTCGCTGACTAGCCGCGGGCACCTTTCTACATGTGCGCCGTATTTGTAAATGTGTGTGTCGTACCTGCGTTCTGGAAAACCAATTAAACAGTTCAAAGAAAAAGAAACTTTTCCGGACGGTTCGAGAAGGTTCCCGAAAAGAAGCAAAAGAGTATTTAAAGGAAGAGACGATCGCCGAAAGAGTAAAAATAAATTGACCGTTGCAGAAGTGAATCGAGAAATAAATTGACAGTGACAGCAGTGAAATAAATAGCGCAGTGAATAGTGATATATGAACAGTAATGTAAATAAATAGAATAATTCACCACCTAGCTTTAGTAATAATTTAATAGAGTTTTAAGTTCCTTAATAATTAGTGTAAATAAATACTCTTGTCGTTAACAGTCTAAAAAGTTAGTAAACGTTAATCCACGAACATTACAATACTTTGGTTGCTTTTTCTTCGATGTAGATACATTTCTGTCACAATCTACTACAAATTAACTTTTAAATTTATGTAAATCGCTAATTATGCCATCGGTTGTTTTGATCTTTTCCTTATACAAGAAGCTAATTATCCGTTGAATAATTACAGCGTTGACGAGCCAATCAAATAGAATGAAGCGTTTTTCTATGATGATGCACTTTAAATCGGTTTACTACAACACAAGTTTATCGTTAGGTATAAGTTAGTGATTAGTGATTACGTTCACCATATTGCTAGGATATTATACGTTGGCATGGCGTAGGTCGTCGTAATTTTTCCTAATAATAAGGTAATTAGAATTCGCATTTAATACACGGCAACTCCATCATTATATGCAGTACAGGATTAGCCCATGTGGCACTAAACGCTAATCTTAGAACACGAAAACGTTATGGCCTGGTGGCCTGAGGCCACCGGAGTATAAAACATAATACACATACCATATAAGCAACGTAAAAAATAATTCAGATAAATAAAAATTGAAAGGCAATTTGAGTTATTACTATCAGTTAACCCATTATTATGTAAGAGGAAATGGACATACGCGGATGTAGACATTGCCATTCACCAATTATCATTTTTTACTGCCATGTTTATTTGTTCCTAATGTAAATGGTTGTGCATGGATGTGGTAAATTGAGGATCATAAAGTTTTAGAACGGTTTTTGACAAATAATGATTATTGGTACCGATTTGTCTATGTCACCTGATGAATCCGTGGGAGCGGTATTGACAATTGACAAAATAGGATGGAATATTAATATGAAAATTCATTTTCAATTTTTTACTCACCTTAAACTACCTCAGGTTAATGAGGGAAAATTTGTTGCTGGGGGGTAAAAAATTGAAAATGAATTTTCACATTAATATTTGACACTAACCACTATTAAATGTCAAAGTGCTTCATTCATAACAAAAATATTGGTATTCAAGTAGGGAAAGGGTGAATATAATGATAGAAGTCGTTGATTTTCGGTATCTAAAATGGCAGATAATTCAGGATAATTCAGGATTTACATTATTAACTGCGTTTTTTGTTTCAAAATTTTTAATTGAAGGTAATTTTTGGTCTTCGAAATGCTTGGTAAATGTACATTTTGAATTTCTTAAGATTTCTATTACACGTTCAGTAAATCAAGTTTTTTTTATATTTATTTTAATAAAAAAAATTCTTAAACCTGTATAGGATCAATTTCAATATTATTTCAAAATCTACTACTTTTCTTCCTTAAAAATTTAGTAATTAAAACAATTGATAATCGCATTATCCATTTGTTTAGTTTTCGTTTGAACAAAAGTTTCGACCCCCTGTTAATGATTTTTTGTATTAACAAAGGTACTCAAAGCTAATATCAAAGCATCAAGTCATAAGCAAAAGGGACCGCTCCGGCGCCTTTTTAAATTATTATTAGAAAGATCTGGTTTGTGTTGGACGTAACTAATAATAATGAAATAGAAAAGTCGGTCATCTGGACAGTCAAAGAGAACCTAGACCTCCTATCAGGATAAACACGCGTGCTGACACATGTCACTCCTGGCAGATTTAGTTAACACGCCGGAACCATTCTGGTGCCCATTAGAAGGCTGGATACCTCCGACGACCAATATCCATAAATTCAGCTCGATTTCTTTAAATGCTATTAACATCTGTTATACTTAATAAATTTATTTGATCATTATGAAGCATCAGAAAAGAGATAAGAAACTACTTATAATAAATAATAGAATACTTTAAATTGAAAAGTCACAATATTTTTATAAAAATACCGGTAACAGCAACAATTTATTGAGAAAGATATTATTTGACCACTACTGATCATTTCTATTTTCGTCATTATAGAATATTGATCCTATTCTGAGAAAATCATGATATCTCCCAAAAATGTTTCTACTTTTAAAGCTCTTACTAGTACGTTTCAGTAGGTGTCCCACCATCTTCTGAATAAGTAAAGATTATAAAACGTAATATTGTTAAATATACTTAAAAATGTAGGGATGAGTTACAAAGATAGAAGAGTGATATTTAGTTTGTCAGACAGGGATGCATGCACACTGTCACCGCTACTTTTTAATCTATATATCGAAGACGCGATCAACATCATTAAGAAAAGTACAGCTATAGGGGTAGATATCCAGGGGAAAAAGATTAGTATGCTTAGATTTGCAGATGATAAAGCTGTATTAGCATCCAGCAAGGAAGAGATTGACAAAACAGTATTGTATGAAAATAAATAAAAATAAAACAAAAATATTGGTATGCAAGGGAAGGAAAAGTAGGGAAAGAGCGAATATAAAGATAGGAGACGAAAAATTAGAAGAAGTGTCCGATTTTAGGTATCTAGGAAGTCAGATAAGTCAGGACGGAAGGAGTAGTAAGGATATAAAACAGAGGATAGCGCAGGGTCGAGTTGTCTTCAATAAAAAGAAGTCACTTCTATGCTTGCGAACGGTTAATTTAGAAATTCGAAAAAGGTCGTTGAAGGTGTATGTTTGGAGCACGGCGCTGTACGGGTGCGAAACATGGACGGTGGGCGCGGCGGAAAAGAAAAGGTTAGAAGCGTTTGAAATGTGGTGTTACAGGCGAATGATAAGGATACCGTGGATAGAGAAGGTTAGAAATGAAGAGGTCTTAAAAAGAGTAAGAGAACAGAGGACTATATGGAAGTCAGTAAGAAATAGGCGTGATAGGTTAGTAGGACACCTTCTCAGGCATTAAGGTCTAGTCAGAGACATATTAGAGGCAGAAACGGATGTTAGGAGGTGCAGAGATAGACCTAGATTAGATTACTGTTCCCAAATAGTTAAGGATGTGGGTTGCTCTAGCTTTAGGGAAATGCGAAGATTAGCTCAGGATAGGAAAGAGTGGAGGTGCGTGTCCAACCAGTGTTAGGACTGACGACAAAACAAGGATTTTTGACCACTAAAACATTAGTTTTCTTCTATTAATGTTTTAACCCTGTCACTCATATTCCTTGTTAAAAGGATGATTATTCTTCCTTTCGAAATTTTACCTTGCCACCCTTAAAATGAGCCTCGCTTTTTTAGATTTCGAAAAGTCCATTTTGGATTTTAATATAATACGTAGGTAAAGGATCTAACGGTATATTTTGACGACAGTTTTAACGTTCCTTTCGGTACACAACAACGGCAAAGGCCCTCGTCCATATGTCGCAAACTCACCCCCTAAAAGTGCACCGCCCCCGTTCGGCTTATCACCTTCGTGCCGTTCTCCAGGTCCAGCCACTCCCATCATCATGTGCCAGTATATTTCGCATACTACGTATTATTATTTGTACGTATTTGACGGGATTCTTTGTGTCAAAATTGCAGGGTTAGGATGTGTAATTTGTTGCGCCGTCGGAGGCTGCAGCTTCCGGAAGTGGCGTAAAGGGTTCCTTTATGAACGTCCGGAAGTTTCACTAAATTGAATTAATGCTTAGCAATTACGAGGATAATTCTTCGTCTTAAGAAGCATTTGTGACTCTGCAGGCTCTTATGTGATCGGGCTCGTGCGTGTAATATTACCGCACCAGGAGTTTACATGATGGACGACGGTTAAGTTGTATGAGCTTAAAAAACGTTATTATTTGTTGAAACACAGCTGCTAGGTTTAAGCTAATGTTACTTTTGCGGCCGAGCTTTGAAGGCAACGCTAAACGTGTACTTAGTTTAGCTGGTGGTCTGCCTTTGTCGCTGGTACAGAGGGAAAGGGATAAAAATCATTGAAGTCGACTCTCTAATGTACTGTTTTCGTTATTGGTGTAAGAACGAGATCAGGCAAAATCAGTTCTAGCAAATATTTCCAAAATTTGATGTAAATTTTAGGCCAAAAAGTTTCCTGGGGGATAATTTATCTAACAAGGACTATTCTTACCGCATGGGCAAAAGCAAAAGTAATATCTGAATAATCGCAGGTATTATGTCAAAACTATGTCAGTCGATAGGTCTTAACTTTGACCTCTGGAATCTAAGTCAATAAAAGAAGAGACATATCAGATCATGTTCTGAGACATGAAGAGTTAGTTAGAAACAAATTAGAAGCAGAAACAATTAGGAAGATGAAATGATTTAGTTTTAGAGAAATCCAAAGATTGGCTCAATACCAACAGGAAGGATTGAAGATATCCAATCAGTCATTGGACTGACCTACTATGATATTCATAATTGAGTTGGTACACTGGGAAATCAAATAAAAAATGTATATATAAAGAAAATATTTCGAGCACAGTAGTACTTATAAATAAATTTCAATTCAAGATTTTATTTAGATGATTGCCTTTGAATGATTTATGTTAAGGTTTATGGGGATTGAAAACTGTCACAGCTTCAAAGTATATGGATGAAGAAGATATAAGTCAGTATCAATTCAGTTCAAAAATACTTCCAACAAAAAATTCAGTTTAATCAGATATATCTTCAGATGTAGGTACCAAAACGACGATCCAAAATCGTTTAAGTAAAACTGTAGCAAAAGAAGCTTTTCCTTCTCTGGAATTGGTATCTTCAGGCTATACTGGATCATTTAAATCTTTTTGCGAAAGACTTCTTCCAATTGGCACGCATTAATGGAGGAAGTCGGGCATTATACAATCTTATAAAAACGAAAAGAAAAAAGGAATTAAAGTAGAATTAATAACGTCGTGTGTATACGTGTATGTGTGTGTGTTCGAAAGAGCAAAGTGGTCGTTGGTTCCGCGAGTGGATTTTGCTGGCAAGAGAAAAGAGATCGCGTGCCGGGGCCCCACCTGTGGGCCCCCGACAGGGCACCAATCCCCATGTCGGAGGCGGGACGCTCGGCGTCTGCAACTTATTACTTTGTGGCTGTTGCATTCATTAGATATTCATAAAGTAATGTTACACTGCAGTCGGACCATTACTACCATTTTATATGATGCATCATTAACTACCCAGTACCACCAACCAACACGCACCATTCAAAACGGCCGACCATAAGCATATCTGTTTCAATTTTTAATTACAAGTATCAAATAATGAGTACCTACATACTTATCATAATTTAACTGGCGGGAATTAAGATACTTTTTAGGGTTCCGAACCCGAAATGTCTAGCGGGAGAATGGGACCCTATTTTAATGGTAACCCTGACTGGCTGTGCGTCTATCAGAAGTCAGATGATACTAACTCCTAAAAGAACAAAAAGAATTTTCCTCGGATCACATCATTATTTGTCCTGTTTGCAAGGTTTTTGTAAATGATCCTACGTCATCACCATAAGATTGATAAGGTACGCATCTCCACTTTTTCCTATCTTCAGTCAATCTTCGCAAAAGTTGGTATAAGCTCTTTGACCTGACTTTCTCCAAATATCTAACCTTTTCGAGTAACTGGACAAGAGTTTTCAGGAGTGAATTGACTTCGGCAACTAACATTCTAATAGATTTTTATCCCATGTTTTGCCATTATCAATTAAGTCCTTCTGNATTAGTTACGAGATCGACATGTTACTGTGAGATAAAAATCGCTAAAATTCGCCCATTTGGATAATAGCAACAAAACTACGCTCGTTTACCATTGGCGAAGAAAAGGGACCTGTAATTTTTGTTGTCATGTTTAGATGCCATTTGAAAAGGATCGTGTCGTTAATTTGGAAAACGATTCGAAAATGAAATAGCGGGGACGGGTTCAGCTGCATCCAACGGGCTGTTTCGTCAATTTTATGCCACTTTTCTGTAATTAACTATCCCTAATAACTCCCTAGATATATGGCGACCATTAACTTCATTAAAGTAATAAACGAATTAGAATTTAGCTGGGTAAAATATCTAATAATACGACAATAAGTCTTGGATATTACAACTATAATTTTTGGCGACCAAAGGGAAAAGGGAAGCTTCCCCGAAATGTGTTAGATTAGGTAGAACTTAGACTTAAAGGACGTTAAAAAATTTGAATTGTACACTTTTCAAAATATTACTAAAATTGGCTATTAAATAGCCAATTAAGGCATATATAAGTCGATCTTAAGAATTTTACTCAAGAGAAGCTTCAAGGTTGTTTTGTACCATTTTGAAATAGCTGCCAACTTAAAATAAAGAAAATTTGTGACTTAGGGATTCCATCATTTCTATTTAACTAATTATTGTAATATCTGTTGGTCTTATTTTATTGTTCCAACAATGAAGCATTTGCTAAAATGTTTACCGTACAATAAATCGATTTGAGAAGGCATTTCATAAACGTGTTTCGGCATAATAAGCAATTGCGCGGCAAAACGTTGTCAATGATCGGAATGTGAGCCCGCGGAGCCAGAATCAAGAAACGTCTGATCCCCAACACGATCATTACTATAATCAACCCCTGGAGCGGCAGCAGATTGCCAAGATGGCGGCGCCGTCCACCATTATCATCTAATATGGAAATTGCAAAAGTACTATAATACAGATAAACGTTCCGCGCGGATACGTAAAACTGCATAAAAAGCAAAACGGTCGAACAACCCTCCATTTTGAATGACTAAATTGGATGAAAATACTACTTAATATCAGGTACCCATACCAGCCGATATATAGCATACATAATGAAAAAAAAAGAATGAGATATTAGAATTTTTTGGAGCACGGGTTAGAGACATATTTAGAGGCACAGAAATAGGAATAAAGAGGGGTAGAGAAAGGCCTAGAGTACTGCTAAATATGTGATATAGTAAGTGCAGGTGCGTGTCCAATTTGTTTTTTGATGTGTCTGTTGGAATTACAAAATTACCACTGTTTAAGTCATGTTATATATTGTTAATTGTTAGCTTATAACTTACAGCAGCATTGAGGATTCAAACCATTTAACACTTTAGGACAAACTTTAATTTTAGTCCAGTTCTAAAAATGTGTGCAAAGGTTAACTATAAGGAGCCATGAAGCCCATGCATATTTCTGAAAGGCTTGACTGCCTTCCACGCATTTTATCGGGATCTACACACAATAGAATCGTACATTTATTATCTTCAGCAATTTCGCTCTGTGTTCATCTCGATGTGACGTCATGCGCGTGCGAAACCGATTTCGGTCGGCGGAGTAGCTCAGCATGGAAGTAAGAACTCATAAGACAAACCGGGAGACTATTCGTTATTTCTTAATCACTTATGACTTGTAACAACCCAAACTTCACGTGGAAGAAGTAAAATAGTTGTTTTCAAAATATAACAATAATTGTTCAGTGTATTTGAAAAGGAAAGAAGAAAAACTGGAGGAAAACCTTACGACAAGTGTGAAAAAATAATATAAGAACTAAGTAACACGAAGTTGTATGAATACTGCGGCAACTCAAATTCAAAATGACTCCCTATTCCCTCTGAAAAGTTCCAATGGAATAATAAGTGAAGGAAAATAGTAATGCTGACATAAATCGTAGGGAAACATTGAGTCGCTTTTGTACAAAATAAAGGCCATATGGGAAACGAATGTAACTGAATACAACGTGCGGACTTACGGTGTTGTCACGCCTCCCAAAGACCAATTTTTGCAACAAAAGTGGGCGTATCTCGAAATGACACATTTTTATTTAATTATATTCATTTCCGATTGAATATTGTCGATAATTACATCCTGCGCTAAAGCCAACACGTGCTTTGATTCACGCTGACTTGGACTATGCGCCTTTTTGTCGAGAATGTTTGGACGAAAACAAGGGCGCACGCGGCCTCCCCTATTTCGAATCGAACAAATAAATAGACAATGGTTGTCCCGTGAAACCCTCCTTTGTTTAACAATGGTGACAGTATTGTCAAATCGGAGAGATAAACATTAGTAAAAGTAAAAAACGAGACCATATCATGAAGCCTTAATAACGAACAAAAGACTAAACTGTAAGATTTTTGCTTATTACGATAATAAGCTTTAGAAACCATTATCATAGCCATAATATGATGTCTTGTTTGTAACGAAAGTGTAATTGTAATTTATTAGATGTTTCTAAAGTTTTTTCTGTTTTGTTTCTAACTTTTCGTAATCTGCGATGGCTACAAGGAAGTGTAATAATAACAATAAAAAAAGATTTACATTTGGCTGTCAGTCATTCAAAACTGACGACCGCGGTCGTTCGGTAGAACACTGTAAGATCGGCAGTTAATTACTTGTAGGTGAGTCGTCGGCACTAATGAAGAGTTTTGTTAATGGAACTCGGTCTTGTGGCCAACAAAAGGAAATTAGTTGGTACGGCCGTTAAAACAAAAGCGGCCAACGTTTGCCGCCGACGCTTCCGACCCTGGCGCCACATATGACCAAAAAGCGCCGACAGAAC